AAATGATATCGCAACTTACATAAACCAATCCAATCTGTAAGCATACAATTTAATCTAATTTTTGGATTTGGAGAGAGAAGAAAAGAAGAGAGTTAAGGAAGCCTGCAATTTAATCTAATTTTTGAATTTGGAAAGAGAATAAAAGAAGAGAGTTAAGGAAGAAGAAGAAGAAGAGTACATGAATGGTAAATAGAGTAAAAAAAATGGAGAAAATCCAATGTAAAAATGGAGAAGAAATAGTACAGAACACCTTATGGCATTAATTAGGAGGGGGGGAAGAAGTACAAGACGATAGGTATTCGCGACACGTGTCCAAGGAATTCCTTCAATCTTTTATATATGTAGGATGTATTGAACACAGTTCATCAGTACAAATTTATACCTATATATGGTTGGACACAACAAAACTTTGCCATGTTGTTAAAGTCAAGACTAGATTAGACTAGACTACTCGGTTCAATCTGGAAAGTGTCCGACTTCTGATTTTATCTATAATCTTTCATATTTTTTTTTATCATTGTTCAATCTTTTGACCCTTTTTACATTTTTCGAATAGATAATCTAGGCCAGTTTTAAAACATTAAAATATTTATTCGAAGAGAAAAAGATGGCATTCACGTGAAAATCTATCCCAAGTGCTATGAAGAAAGACAGGCTTTTATTTCCCTTCGTCAATATTCTAGATAAATAAAACAGGTATGGAGTTGTAACAAGAGAAATAGCAATAATATCACATTTTTCCACCTATTTTTGTGGCCAAAATGTGGCATTACCTGTGTTCATTAATGAACCTTTCTTCGTGAAAGAATTCAGTTGAGAACTTTGTATTTAATAAGAATGGTGATCTACCAGTCAGCCGTCACATTTAATGTGGATTGAGATACAACAAACCATATTTAAACCCCAACTATGAAATTCTAATGCAACAGTTCTGTGGGAAATAGATAGATACAAATTAAGAGTGGGTGGGTGCATCAGTGTTCATGGACCAGATTAAACCAAGCCCTGCAAATTCATGTCCTCTTACCACATTAACATTTCTTGAAAGAGCTGCAGTTGTATATTGTGACTGCACTTCTATTGTCTATGACACAACCACTTATACATGGCTCGATACCTACAAGCGGTGCCTAAGGATTGCATCGGTAATCAAATCGTTCGGAATTAAGAGAGGTCATGTAGTCTCAGTGGTGGCGCAGAATATCCCGGCCATGTATGAGCTCCAGTTCGCCGTGCCAATGGCGGGTGCAGTAATCAACGACATCAATACACGTCTTGATGCTAGGAGTATTTCGTTTCTTCTTCGCCATAGTGAATCAAAGCTAGTGTTTGTGGACTACCATCTTCAATCTGTAGTTCTTGAAGCCATTTCTTTGTTTCCATCAAATCTGCGCCGTCCAATCCTTATTCTTATCACTGATGATCATCTTGATCAAGATTCATCACCAG